ACTGAATAATATTCCATTGTGTGTATGTACCACATCTTCTTTATCCATTCATCTACTGATGGACACTTAGGTTGCTTCCATTTCTTGGCTATTGTAAATAGTGCTGCGATAAACATAGGGGTTCATATGTCTTTTTCAAACTGGGCTACTGCATTCTTAGGGTAAATTCCTAGGAGTGGAATTCCTGGGTCAAATGGTATTTCTATTTTGAGCTTTTTGAGGAACCTCCATACTGCTTTCCACAATCGTTGAACTAATTTACGTTCCTACTAGCAGTGTAGGAGGGCTCCCCTTTCTCCACAACCTCACTAACATTTGTTGTTCTTTGTCTTTTGGATGGTGGCCATCCTTACTGGTGTGAGGTGATATCTCATTGTGGTTTTAATTTGCATTTCTCTGATGACTAGTGATGTGGAACATCTTTTCATGTGTCTGCTGGCCATCTGAATTTCTCCTTTGGAGAACTGTCTATTCAGCTCCTCTGCCCATTTTTTAATTAGATTATTTGCTTATTGTTTGTTGAGGTGTGTGAGCTCTTTATATATTTTGGATGTCAACCCTTTATCAGATCTGTTGTTTATGAATATATTCTCCCATATTGTAGGATGCCTTTTTGTTCTATTGGTGGTGTCCTTTGCTGTACAGAAGCTTTTCATCTTGATATAGTCCCACGTGTTCATTTTTGCTTTTGTTTCCCTTGCCTGGGGAAATATGTTCATGAAGAAGTTGCTCATGTTTATATCAGGAGATTTTTGCCTATGTTCTTTTCTACGAGTTTTATTAAGGTGTATTTTATATAAAATATTTCATGTGACAGTTTGAAAGTATAAGTCTAAAATAACAGAATCTCTTGCTTCGTATAGCTGTATTAGAAAACATAGACAATGGACTTTTTAAGTATTTCAGGTTTAGAAAGAAAAACAAAGCTGGGTTATCATACTCCCTCATTAACTATACTGCAAAGTACAGTTATCAAAACTATATAGTAATGGCACAAGAGGTGATATGGAGATCAGCAGAACAGAATAGAGAGCCCATAAATAAACCCATGCTTATATGGTAAATTATATGACAAAGGAGGCAAGAATATATAATGGGGAAGAGATAGTCTCTTCAATAAATGGTGCTGAGGAACCTGGACAGCTACATGCAAAAGAATGAAACTCAATCACAGTCTTCCATCATCCACAAAAATAAACTTGAAATGGATTGAAGACTGAAATATAAGACCTGAAACCATAAAACTCTAAGAAGAAAACATAGGCACTAAACTCTTGAATATTAGCATTAGTAATTTTTTTCTGGATATGTTTCTCCAGGCAAGGGAAATAAAAATAAAAATGAACAAATGGGGTTCTATCAAACTAGAAAGCTTTGCTGCATAGCAAAGGAAACTATTAACAAAACAGAAAAGCAGCCTACTCTACAGGAGAAGAAATTTTCAAATCATACATACCTACTCTATGGGAGAAGAAATTTTCAAATCATACTTCCAATGAACTTGTATTCAGGTCTGCTGCTGTATCCAGATGTTTAAATGTTTTATAAGACAATTTTAGCTAAAATGAATTTTGGATGGTGTTGTATGGAATAGATACTGTGATACCACTCCTTTAAGAGAAGATTTCTGCAGTGAGTAATGGTCTGTTCTTTGATCCACATACAACTCTGTTAAGCCAGACTGGCTAGATAAATATAAGAATCTATGCTCCTGCATCAGTAAATTGGTTGTAGGCCCAGAAAGGATCCAAAACACATAGAGAACTCTACAACTCAGCACCAAAAATACAGTTAACCCAATTAAAAAATGGGCATAGGATCTGAATAAACATTTTTCCAAAGAAGAAATACAGATGGCCAACAGACACATGAAAAGATGCTCAACAGCTTTAATCAGGGAAATGTAAATCAAAACCACAGTGAGATATCACCTTATATCGATCAGAATGGCTAGTATCAACAAGACAAGAAATAACAAATCTTGGTGAGAATGTGGAGAAAAGGGAGCTCTCTCATAATTGGCAGGATTGCAAATTGGTGTATCCACTATGGAAAGCAGTATGGAGGCTTCTCAAAAAACTAAAAATAGAAATATCATATAATCCAGCAATTCCACTTCTGGGTATTTACCTGAGGAAAACAAAGTCATTAATTTAAAAAGATGTTTGCACCCCTATGTTTATCACTGCATTATTTTAATAGCCAAGATATGGAAGCAACCTAAATGTCCATTGATAGATGAATGAATAAAGAAGATATGGTACATATGTACAATGGAATATTATTCAGCCATAAAAAGGAAATAAATTTTACCTTTTGTAATAACATGGATGGACCCAGAAGGCATAATGCTAAGTGAAATAAGTCAGAGGATGTTGAATACCATATGGTTTCACTTATATGTGGAATGTGAAAAACAGGACAGACAAAACAAATAGACTCATATACACACAGAATGGACGGTTGGTTGCCATGGGAAGAATATGGGGGACAGGTGAAATAGGGATAAAAAGGTACAAACTGCAAATTATAAAATAGTCACAGGGTTGGGAAGTATAGCATAGGGAATATAGCTTATATAGAATAATACTGTAATATCTGTATAGTGACAGATGGTAACTACACTTATTATGGTGAGCATTTAGTAATGTGTTTAATTGTTGAATCACTCTTCATCTGAAACCCATTTAATATTATATATAAACTATATTTCAACAAAAAATGACTATAAGATAATTTCAGGTCTAAGTGTAATTTAAGATTGGTGTTTTAGTGTTTTAAGATGGCAACCTCAAATCTGTTTTGGTGGGGAAGAAGAAAAAGGTTCAATTGCTATAAAATATATTTGAAAAGTTAATAGTGATTAGTAGTAGGTTAGTAAACAAGTTCTTATCTAAGATAAAAATGTATGTGTTCGGACATACATCATCTTAATTTGCCATATATTTCGTAGAACTTGTATTCAGGTCTGCTGCTGTATCCAGATGTTTAAATGTTTTATAAGACAATTTTAGCTAAAATGAATTTTGGATGGTGTTGTATGAGATAGATACTGTGATACCACTCCTTTAAGAGAAGCTTTCTACAGTGAGTAATGGTCTGTTCTTTGATCCATATATAACTCTGTTAAGCCAGACTGGCTAGATAAATATAAGAATCTATGCTCCTGCATCAGTAAAGAATTCATCTTGAAATTGGTTGTAGGCCCAGAAAGGATTATTCACTCTCACCTGAGAATCAACATCTTGGTAACTTATTATTTAATAGTAGGTGTTGATTCATAGCCTGTGCTGAATAAACATTTGTTGTATGAGTAGATAATTAAAGGTTTTTTTTTTTTTACAAACAGCAAGGTAAATGCCTTAACAATTTTTATCAATATAATCTCTTTTATACAGTGTCTTTGAATCACCAAGTACCTTTTTCTTTTCTTTTTATTAAAGTATAATTATGTACAGTAAAATTCACCCTTTTTAGTGTGTATTTCTGTGAGTTTTGATAAATATGTACGGTGATGTAACTACAACTACAATCAAGATGTACAACAGTCCTGTCATCCCCAGATTTCCTCCGTGTCCCCTGTTTGTAGACAGTCCTTCCCTTTCACTTCTAGCCCCCGGCAACCGCTTCATCTCTTTTCTGTCTCTCTAAAGTTTTGCTTTGGTAAGGATATCATGTAAAAGAAGCATTTGACATGTAGCCTTTTGGGTCTGGCTTTTTGGCACAGTGCATTTGAGATTTATCTGCGTTGTTGCATGTTTCATCATTTTGTTCCTTTTTATTACTGAGTAGTGTCCTATTGTATGAGTGTGCCACAGTTTGTTTATCTCTTCCCCAGTTGAGGGATGTTTGGATTATTTCCATTTTGGGTGATTGACTATGAATAAAATTGCCATTAACATTCACACACAGACTATAATGTCAGTGTAGGTTTTCATTTCATTTGGGTAAATACCTAGGGAATGCGTTGCGTTGCTGGTTTGTGTGGTAAATGAATCTTTGACTTTATCATGAGATTCTGTCAAATTGTTTTCAAAAGTGGCTGTAAAGTTTTGTAGCCCCACCAGCAGTTGCTCTGAATAGTTGTTAGCACTTTCTTTTGTCAGGTCAGGTTTTTTTTTTTTTTTTTTAACTTTAGCCATTTCCCATGTGTTTCTCCTCAGTTTTGATTTGCATTTCCCTGATGACTAATGACGTAGGACATCTTTTCATGCATTTCTTTGCCCTCTGTGTATCTTCACTGGTGAAATGTCTGTTGAAATGTTTTGCTCTCCCTTACATCTTTAAATAGGGTTGTATTCTTATCATTGGGTTCTTTTATATTATGAATACAAGTCCTTTGCCAGTTATGTGAGTTGCAAATATTTTCTTCATTTTGTGACTTATCTTTTCATTCTCTTAATGGTGTACTTTCAAAGAGCAGAAGTTCTTCATTTTGATGAAGTCTAGTTGAGCGATTTTTTTCTTTTATGGATTGTGCTTTTTGGTGTCATATTTACAAACTCTATGCAGCATCACTGTGAACTTAACATATAACATGATATTTTAGACTGGATCCAACTATATAAAATTCATAATGGTGTTAACTTTCAGATATTTTTAACTTGAAGATCCTAGGTTTGTATTAGTTTGTTACAGATTAATTACTAAAATGCCAAAAATATATTTGTTTCTGGTGATTCAAATGACAAAATACACCTTTTAAATAAGTTTATTAGATTATCTTTTAACATTTATTTATTTTATTTATTTACTTTTATTAAAGTATCATTGATATACAGTCTTATGGTGGTTTCACATATACAACACAGTGGTTCAGTGTGCCCCCATATTATTAAGTCATCACCCCCTCCGGTACGGTCACTGTCTATCAACATAGTAAGATGTTACAGAGTCATTAATTGTATTCTCTGTGCCTGTGACCTACCTGTATTGTGATTGTGAACTACAGTGCCCCTTAATCCCCTTCTCCCTCCACACCCACCCCCCTCATCCCCTCCCCTTCCGTAACCACTAGTCCCTTCCTGGTGTCTGTGAGTCTGCTGCTGTTTTGTTCCTTCTGTTTTGCTTTGTTTTTATACTCCACAAATGAGTGAAATAATTTCGTATTTGTCTTTCTCTGCCTGGCTTATTTCATATTAGCTTATGTTTTTACATTGTTTTTTTTTATCATGGTTACAGACACTTAACAGTAGATTATTTTTAAGCTTGAATACTCAAGATTTTTATATAACAATTGATTTTTAGGTTTTGGTACTATTATATATAAGAAGATTCAATGGTATGGCAGATCTTGAGTGCCTTTATTATATTCTTCATTTGAATCCAAGTTTGATACATTTATGGAGTTCCTCAAGACCAGTTATAGTTATATAAGACCATTTTACAATCATGGATAAGATGAAAAAATTTGTCAGGTGTTTTTTTCCATTGTTCCTCCCCCCTCCCTTCCTCCACTGCCCCTTTTCCTCTGCCACCTCATTCCTCGTCTCCTTGTCCTCCCTCCTCCTCTTCTCTTCTCTCTCCCTTTCTTGCCTCCTTCTATTTCCTGCCCACTGGAGTGATCTCTTGTAGGTGCTCTGGTGCTCGGTCTGTCTGTGACGGTAGGTCCTCAGCTGAGGATTTGAAGTGGGAGTGGAGTCAAGATAATATTTAGAAATTGGATTGCTTTGGGAAATGGGATTAAGAAAGAGTGTCTTCAGTTGGCATTAGCTTTGAAGTACCCTCAGTAAAATACAGTGAAATTGCTGATAAATTATGTACAAGTTCAAGAATGATATTTAAAATGAGATATATTTTGATTTGCTTTTTGTATAATTTTAAATTTCTTAAACTCTAATTTTAAGACAAAATAATCTAACTTTTGAGATAGTTATTTTTGATTGAATAAAGACATGTTTGATTTGGAATCAATATCACTTGACCTTTTGATGAAATATTTTGTTTTCCTTTAAGCCTGTTGCTTTGTGTCAAGTTCACTACTACTGCTACTATTATTATTGTTTTGGAGTAAGACTGTATCACACAGTTTTTCTTTTGCTTTCCCAAATGTGATTTTTAACTTGTTGAGTTTAGTTTTCAGTGTTTAGTGACTGTATTTTGGTGGGGGGAGAAAGTGTGCCATAAATTTTAATTAATTGTGATGATTTTGAAACCATATCAAATTATTAATTTAATAAAATCATGATACTAATTGGTAATCTGTTTAGAGGTAGCTTTTCCAAACTTAATCACAATTTTATTTATCTTTTCCTACTTTTGCACTTTGATGTAATGTTATCTGAGCAATAATTGTCACCTTGCTTTATGTTTGTCAGATAGCAATTAAGTTAGCTAAAAGTTATTTTCAGTGATCTTATTAAAACTGAACATTGTACTAAAAGTATTTCATTGTCTGAGGTGATTTTGTTTTAATGATAAATTTATGTTCTATCCATTTTCAGGTCATCCTGTTCAGTTCTACAGCATGAATAGACCTGCCTCTCGCCATACTCCCCCAACAATAGGGGGCTCGTTGCCCTATAGACGTCCGCCTTCCATAACTTCACAAACAAGCCTTCAGAATCAGATGAATGGGGGACCTTTTTATAGCCAGAATCCAGGTTAGATTTTCTTTTGTATTCTGCAGAAAGTATCTAATAAGAATTTAAATTACAGAGAAAAAGCCGTTAGTTACAAATGACTGGCACATGATAGGTGGTTAGTACTATTTGTTGAGTGAATAGAAAAATGCATGCAAGGTTGATAATACTGTATCTTATGTTCCTTTTTTTTATGAGTACATGGTTTTCATATAAAGTCATAGAACTTAATTTTTCTGAACACAATCTTTTTGAATGAGCTAGTAATTATTTGCTTTTAAAACTAATGTGGTGAACAGTATTTCCTTCTTTAATAAGATATCCTTGCTCTATGAATAGTAAATAATTGAAAATTGAGTATATGAACAGCATTTATAAATGGCAAAGGAAAAGGGAATTGACATGTTTGAAACTGCTTTGTGCTAGGCAGTTATACTATCATACTCAATTCTCACACCAAATCTGTGGTGGGAAAAATGGGTCTTGGACAGATTGACCCAGTTATAACTGGTACAATTATTCCAGAGACCAGTTGCATAAGAAATATTAATCTGTCACATGTTTAGTACTATACATAATCATTATTTTTGCTGCTTCCCCAGAAAGGATAAGAGCAAATATTAAACTCTTATGATGTGATTTATTAACTTTCTAGATTTTTGCCAAGAGGCTATGTATGATCACCTCTAATGTTAGGGGGCAGACCCTGTGCCATCTGTGATAAGCCCTGAATTTTATGGAGCTGAACTCTGTCGTGGCTACCACCTTTGGTGAAACCATGACATATCCTGTGGAATCTTTTTTTTTTTAAATTTTGTTATCATTAATTTACAATTACATGAAGAACATTATGTTTACTGGACTCTCCCCTTCAGCAAGTCCCCTCCACAAACCCCATTACAGTCACTGTCCATCAGTGTAGTAAGATGCTGTAGAATCACTACATGTCTTCTCTGTGTTGCACAGCCCTCCCCATGCACCCACCCCACATTATACATGCTAATCGTAATACCCCCTTTCTTTTTCCCTGCCCTTATCCCTCCCTTCCCTCCCATCTGCCCCAGTCCCTTTCCCTTTGGCAACTGTTAGTCCATTCTTGGGTTCTGTGATTCTGCTGCTGTTTTGTTCCTTCAGTTTTTCTTTGTTCTTATACTCCACATATGAGTGAAGTCATTTGGTACTTGTCTTTCTCCGCCTGGCTTATTTCACTGAGCATAATACCTTCTAGCTCCATCCATGTTACTGCAAATGGTTGCATTTGTTTTTTTCTTACGGCTGAGTAATATTCCATTGTGTATATGTACCACATCTTCTTTATCCATTCATCTACTGATGGACATTTAAGTTGCTTCCATATCTTGGCTATTGTAAATAGTGCAGTGATAAACATAGGGGTGCATCTGTCTTTTTCAAACTGGAATGCTGCATTCTTGGGGTAAATTCCTAGAAGTGGAATTCCTGGGTCAAATGGTATTTCTATTTTGAGCATTTTGAGGAACCTCCATACTGCTTTCCACAATAGTTGAACTAATTTACATTCCCACCAGCAGTGTAGGAGGGTTCCCCTTTCTCCACAACCTTGCCAACATATGTTTTTGTTTGTCTTTTGGATGGTAGTCATCCTTACTGGTGGGAGGTGATATCTCATTGTGGTTTTAATTTGCATTTCCCTGATAACTA